TCTTGGGAGTGGGCTTTTGTTGATGTTTTGAAGATTGGCTTCTCTTCGAACTTAACAATGCATCCAGCTTTCACTATTTCTTGTACCCTTATGTTTAGGGTATTGAAATTTTCCACTGAGTGTCCCAGAACTCTAGAATGGTAATCACATTGTCTATTGGCTCTGTACCCTCTTGGATATTAAGGTTGTAGAGTCCCACTCAAAATAGGAATGTGTAGGCATCTTTAGCGTAATTGAGGGTGAAATTTGGCATTGCTGGAAGAGATAGGGTAAATTTGATTTGTGTCTCTCCGGAGAATATTTGGTGATATTGGGGAAAATTTTGAAAGTTGATCGAACAATGAACTTTGAAAGTTGTAATATTGGTATAAATGTACGACAATGGATGAGTTTGATTATTTTAGGGTGGCAATTGCACATCTTCCCTTTTGCTCCTACTCGGGTTGAACCTTTAGACTCTTAAGGAAATCATTGATCATTAGTTTCTTGCCTTCAATATGGTCGGCCATTACATATCAATACATGACCAAATGGATTCTTGGCTAGGTGGTTCCATTGTGTTGCTTGAACTTTGGCATTTGAAAATCATGTGGGACCACCATATTCTGAACTTCATATAGGTGTGTGTACCCGTGGCCTTGTATTGTATGATTCAATTTTCTTATACGATCATCCACAAACTCCTTTTTGACTCTTGATTTAGTGTTGATCTATTGCTCTTCCTGATTACCTAAATGTTGTGAGTCATCTGGTTTTGATCCTTTTGCAACTTCCTGATCATATACGCTCTTTGTGGCTATAGTGTCAAGCCTATCACTCGATGTTCCTTCGTTGAGTGATTGGTATAAGTTCTTGGAGTAAGATGACATATCACCGATTTGGCCTTTCGTTGAATACTCCTTGTTTGTCAAAATTCTCAATACCATGTTGCCTTCCCCTTTTATTTCTTAAAGTATCATCAACCTTCCCTTGACGCCGCTCAATTCCTTCTGATCGACTCCATAACAAACTCAACCTTGGATCTTTCTCAAGAATTAGGAGGCCTGACTTTCGTTGTGGATGATCAATTTTTTTTAAAAAATATTTGGTATTATTTTATTATTATTAAATAACTCCTTATTGCTAGATGAGATGAATGTATGATATTCGTGTTAAATGATATGAATGCACATATGCAAGAATAATTTTAATGAATGCACGAATGCTCGCAACTCTTCCTTTATGATTGATTTCAAATGAGCGGATCTCGTATTAATGAAAGATATGCTAATTTCATGAAGTTTGAGAAACTTTGCAGATCATCTAATCACGTCATTCATGTATAATCGACGAAGCATAATTCATTATATTATAAACATACATAAATCATAAACACATCATCCTATTTAGGCCAACTTAGGGTTTCAGAGGCTTTAACGACGAGGTTAAGGGTAGGCTCCGGGATATGTTTTGAATGACTTAGGGTGGCATCTAAGCTGACTATATGTTGTGTAGGAGTTCATGAGAATTAGGCTCCCAAGTTGTATCTTATCAAAACCTTTTCGAGTTTGGCAAGATACCTCAATTCAACCTCGGATTTGAGTTCAATTTGGTTAGAAAGTTTCATGTTATTCCCCTACCACTGTAGAAGTCACGCTACTCCTTTCATTTTTGAAGGTAGAGCTCGGGTATAGAGCTTTATGCATGAATGTAATCAATTAAATAAGACATAAATTGAAAGCGCAAATAGTAAAACACATAACACCCATTAAGAAAGTAAGAAATTGCTTATCGATCATTTATGTAGCTAGGCTCTCATATAAGTCCCCAGCGGAGTCGCCACTGTCGCAACCGCCCCTCGAGATCGGGGGATCCGTCACGAATTGCTCGGAGTCGACCTTAGGGTCGAAAGCGAGATTTGGTCTGCGGAATTGTATAGATTGGGTTCGAGAGTACGGTTACGTGTGAGGAAGGGTATTCACACCTCACAACGCCCCAAATGGGTACTACTTAAATCGATAAGTTTTTAAAGGTTGGGTGTTTCATTATTTGTAGCTTACTGCATATTATTGCATTCAATTAATTTAAGTATTTTGTTGTTACAATTTGAGCATACATCTATAGATGTAAAAATCTCAAAAGTGAAGAAAGAGTTTTTTAATTAGTTGGACTCGAACCTATTGGTTGCCTACGTACCCGGGTAGTCGGGATCAAAGTCCACGTAGTTCGTTAAAATAGTGATTTGAAGTGTCAACGATTACACGTTAAATTGTTGAGAAAATTTTTTAGTTGGACTCGAACCTATTGGTTGCCTACGTACCCGAGTAGTTGGGATCAAAGTCCACGTAGTTCGATATTGAGTGATTTATGATGTGATCATAACGTGATCTAGTGATTGATGATTCAGGTAATAATTTGCGTTTAAAAAAATGTAATTTTGTAATCATGAATTTCGAATGGGTAATTTGAGAAAAATGTTGACGACGTGCATAAATGATTTTTTCTTATTATGTTATTTTCGCTTTTCAGGAGTGCGGTGCAAGGGATGGTAGTTTTGGAGAATATTTAGGGGTATCTTGGTCCTTTACGGGTAAGGGCATATAATCTCTTTTTAAGATCTAATGAACACCTAATCCATTTTGTATTGACCTTTGCTACACTAAGTGGCTGCCCCACTCTCTGCCTCCTCACTCTCTTTCAAAAGAAAGACGAACAAGAAAGAGAGAAAGCAAAAATCTCTTCCCCTCCCGATCAAAAACTCATTTTTTCTTCTTCTCGATCTTCTTTACAAGCCATAATCCTCCTCCTCCTCCTCCTCCTCCACTCGCTTGTGCCATCCCCTAATTCCTCTTTCTGTGTTCAACGAACGGAATGAAGAACAGGGGGGATGGTCGGCGACGAACAAGGCGGAAGTCGGCATTGTGAAGGCGACGGGGACCAGGTAAGAAATTAGGTTTTCTTTTATTGCATGTCACATTTGGGCTTCTTAGGATTCTAATCGCATTCGTTTTACTTGTTTTTGATATCTTAGGATTTGACCAGGTGAGAGGAAGGAAATCGTGAGGGGTTGAGCAGCAGAGGAGTCGCCGACTTGGGGGTCTCATCGGCGTGAGGATCTCCCCACTGGCAAAGACGACAGAGGTAAGGATTCAGGTAAGGATTTATTTAATTTGCTGGATTTGCGATGGTTCTTGTTTTTTATTTGAAATTTGACGCTGGCCCTTTTCTTGTTTTTTATTTTGGAAGAGGGATGGAGGAAAGAAAAAGGATATGTTGCCGGCATTTTGGGCCTCGCCTGCAATGAAGACGACTTTAACGGGCTCGATCCTTCTTGATGAGTTAGGATGGTTAGTGTATACTAGGTGGACTGTGTCTGAATGATTTTGGGTTTTCTCAAAGTCTTGACTCGTTTCATGGTCTTCTGGATTTTGATGGTGCATTCAGTTTTGGAAATTGTATATGGTGTTTATGGTGATTTTAGTTTTGTATTTGTTATAGTTGAATTTATTATGGTGGTTGTAGTTTTGTATTTGTATATGGTGTTTATGGAAATTGGATAAGATTAAATGAAAGTGTAATAGTTATTTAGATTACTAGGTAATAACGTTGTATGTGTAGTTTTGTAATTTTATTTAGTAATATGTTTGTAAATTGTAATTTATTTTATTAAGATCATTATTTATTTCCTTGTCTTTAATTGTTCCCAAAGTTAAGTCCCAAATCCACTAATCAATTTTTGGCAAATAAAGTTAGCTATTGCTAAACTTGTTTAATCGCCCAAATTTTAATAACTCGACCCCATGTCCAAAACAAACTCTGATGTCTCGGCATCCTTAGATTTGCTATTGCTTAATCTTATAGAGCCATGACAAGTGTAATCGTACTAAATGTTAATCATATAAAGAGATGTTTACGAGTGACTATTGTCAATTCAAAACAAATCGAGTACTCAACTCCTCTTAACCAGTAGTTCGAATCAGTAAATTGCTCGGAAAAAATGTGGTGTCTATAGGTACTATCATCCTTCTCCACCACAGACAGTGATGCTTGAGTCGCTGATGTGTTCGCCATATGATCATATTTATGAGATGTGATTGGTAGGTTAATGATGTAGGAGGCTTTTGTAGCGTAGTAGTCTCGAGATATGTAATCCTTTAGTTTGATTGATCTTCTTTATATGCGAGCATGTCGTGCTTTGCTAAGAGGAATTTGTCAACTTGGGGTATTATCTTGTTGATGTCAATTTTCTAGACATTCTTGAATAACTTTATTGGGAGGTGTGAAGTATGAATTACTCTGTTGACGGATAGTCGTCTACCTGTTGCTCCAATGGATAGTGGTATCTTGAAATCTCTTCATGAAATGGTGGGATACTTGAGTAGTTTCACTTGCGAGAATTTCAAATACTTCACCCTTTAGGCTATATCAATATTGTATCTAGGGATCTGTTATGCACTTTCATCTTCGGGTATGTCCTGTTGGTGTCAGCTCTGAGCTTTCTGGTTTGCCAACCTAGGGTGTCACACGCCTAGTCTTGAGTTGTGTACTTGGTTTGGTAGTCATGGTATATCAAGTTCATTCCTCTAGTCAAGTCGCTCATGGATAATTTGTCTAACTGGTAGGATACTTTGAATCGTAAGTTATTCAAGATCTCTAAAAGTTCTCCATGGGCTCATGAGCTGAAGAGTTGGAAGATCCACTACATGAGTATTTGAACTCCTTATACTATGGGTCTTCTCACTTTGCCCCCGTAGATAAGTTATTTGTTTTCCGCTTTTTGGAACAAAATGTGACTTTTAACAATCTTGATGTAAGATGAACGCAACAAAGTTTGGAAAATCTTATTTGAGAAAGTATGATGAGAACCTAATTTTAGAAATCAAAACCTCGCTTGAGGGAAGTGTGTGCAATATGAGAAAAATGATTTCTTGTGTGGTTACTGCCACCTTGTTTAAAATTTTGCTTTTTTTTTGTAAGCCAAGCCACGAGAATATTCATAAGCCCTCGCTCTCATTCTCACTCTCACTCAAACATATGGGTGTGTTGAGTTTACGATACTTAGGCTACTATCAAGATGTTGGTCACCATGTTTGATGAAAAAAATGTGCTCGAGGTATAAGTTTGCTGATCTTGGAGAGTTCGCGTGATCTTTGTATGATCTAGTGGTAAAAGTTGTCGAAGTTTTCTGAAAGAAGCTCGTGTATGATATGACTCCAACCGTAAGAGTTCTCAGGTTTTTGGAATTTGAATTTTCCCGTATGAGTGATAGATAAATGCGACTTCCATCCTTAGTCGTGTATATTTTTTGCTGAGGTATCTGGCTTGCCCCCATAGTATGAGGCTAACTGATGGATAAAGGAGATCCTTGTAAAGAAAGTCTCATTTTCCTCAAAATTGGTTGTTTGTCTTGGGTATTTTGACTCATGTGTGCCCACTTGTCTTGAAATTTTGGTTTTATGGGTAAACTCGAGTAGTGAAGTAATTTAGGACATATGAGTAGGAACTTTATTATGGAAATCTTCTCACTTGTCGAGGTCCTTTTTTGACCTCGAAAGGATGGATAAAGAAGGTATTGGTATGATGCATGCTTCGACTTCTCATTGACCCTCAAAATTGAAAATTATAAGGGGTTCTTGCTTAACTTGAAAGCGAGAGTTCAAGTGATGGACAACGAGAATGATCATGGGATGTTACTTAAGCTTATGTCAACATTCTTGTCTTGGTAACTCTTCTTTTTAGGGGTTTCTAGCGTTATTTCTTCAAGCCTGGCTGGAAAGTACCATTTGTTTGGAAAGCTATCCGATTTGGTGAGTATCACTGCTTGAGTGTCTAAATCCTGTTGATTGAGAGAATGACCCTATATTTAGCTCTTGTGACCACGTCGAAGATAAATTTGGAATCACTCTTTTGGCCTTTCAATGAAGATAACTAGTTACTCTTGATGAGTTTAAGTGGTTGTAACTTCAAGCGTTCAGGCATGGGCGTCTGACGTGTAAGTCACACAATATTTTTCTTTTTCTTTTGATTTTGATTGATTTTCTTGCCTCTTTTGGCCTTTTCTTTTGCTCTTTATTTTGTGGAATTATTTGACTTTGTTGTGCCCCATAATGATGGCATTTTGATGCTTTTCATTTTACCCACCAACTTCAAAGAGTTAGGAGATTTCGTCGGTATGACAATCTTTGTGAGTGGCCTTTTTGATGGCTTCAAAAATTGGTAATTTCTTTCCACAAGAAGAAAGATCTCTTATGTCAAGGTTTCATTGTACTGTCTGAGTAGCTCTTTCACTCAAGCATTGGATCTGGAGAGACAAACACTAAGAATTAACATAATTTATTGTGCTTTCGTTCCTCAATTGATTATGTGAGTGCTTTCGTTCCTCAACATGAATATCGAGAAGTTCACGGGGAAGAACAACTACGAGGTCGAAGTCTGATATGTGGATGATCTATCTTGTTCTGTATGTGGATGATATGCTCATAGATGCGAGGTGGAAGTTTGATATTTAGAATTTAAAGGGGCTTCTCATTGCTGAGTTTGAGATGAAGGATTTGGGAGCTGCTCAGAAGATCTTGGGTATGGAGATTTACAGGGATAGGTCGAAGAAGAAGCTTTTCTTGTCACATAAGAGCTACATCCAAAAGATACTGTCAAGGTTTGGCATGTCTTCAGCAAAGCCCTTGAATACTCCTAGTGCTTCAAATGTTCATCTATCCTCAGCTTATGCACCGCAGTCAGAGGCTGAGAATGGGTTCATCTATCTCTTGTCATTCTCTCTAGATTGCCTGTGTCGTCCTAAACCAGAACCACAACAAGGGAAAAGCTCTCGATCAAGATGTCGATGTCGGCGGCGAAGATAGACAGATGTGAGTCTCGTTTGGGTTGCGTGTTGATTTTTTTCAGTTTGATTTTCTTCGGGTTTGGGGGTTCTGACTATTTTCTGTGTTTGGACTGAGAAGGAAAAGGAGATTAAGGAGTGGACAGAGGAATCGCCGGCGGATTCGAGTCTTGCCTGCGATAGTGGCACCAAGGCCTCCTCGGCGAGAAAGGCAGGATCCCTATACCTTTTTTTTGTTCTCTTTGAATTTCTGGGTTTCGATTTCTGATAAGCTTTTTGATTGTTTTTGTTTTTTTAGATGCGAAGGTTTGATTGGGAAGGAGGAAAGAAAGAGACGGCCGGTCGGCGAGGACTTCCGATGATGGCGAGTAAGGAGGAGAAACCGTCGGTGGCTCTTGTCTCGCTGACGGCGAGGGAGCAAACTCACCGGAGCGGATTCTCTAGTAAGTAATTTTGGAGTATTTTTTAATATTTTTATTCATTTTTTCCTTTAAAAGATTTTCACTTTTGTTTCTTCAATTTCTGGGTTTGAATGGCAGAGTTGAACAGAGGGAGAACAACTGGAAAGAAAGAGGATTACCACTGGTGAGTGTAGGCAGAGTCGCCGATAGCTACCATGACAAGTGAGTGAGAGTGTGTTTTCTGGGCTCGTATGAAAACTGGAATTTTATGTAGTGTTCTAATGGGTTTGAAACTGAATTTTTTGATTTGTCGTATTTTGGAGAGTAAAGCTAGTTGGCTGGAGTGCAGAAATGGGAGCCCCCGCTAGCAATCAATCAGCAACGGTAGTGGTGGCAGCTAGCGAGAAAATATAGGTTGGTTGGGGGTAGTTCTACTGGACTCTGTTTTTCTAGAAAGGTTTACATAGGTAGAGAGAAGGGAGTGATTGTGAATGATAATGCTTAGATATGGTAATAGTAGGTTTGTGTGAATACCAACCTTGGTTGTTCAAAGGTTGGGATGACGTAGTCTCCTCTCCTATCTTCTGGGAGCTTGGTGGTTGATGCTGCCTTGCATGCTTCCTTGTTAATTTTTTTTTTCTCCTTTGGTTGCTGCAATTTTACTCCTTTTTTGTGTGTTTTTATTGTTATTTTGGTTTATGTTGTGTTGTTTGTGTGTAGGAAAGAAGAGGAGAACCAAAAGTTTTATGCGGTTTTTGTTAGAATAACAGAGAGGTAAATGAGTGTTTTTCTCTCTTGAATTTTGTCTGTATGTCTAAGGGGAAATGGGAGTGTGTTTGAGGAAAGGTAAGTGGAAAGTTTTGCAGAGTTTCTATGCTCTTTGTGTTTGTGGATCAGACAAAGGAAGAAGTGGAGAGGATTTTTTAGAAGGGAAGCAGGAGTGGAAAAACCGTCCCCTTTGCAAGAACTAAAGAGGTATTTTTTCTTAGGAAAAAGGCAGCTGGGAGCCCACGCTTGCTACACTACCAGTTTCGGGTTGAACCAGTCTTGCTACAATACCAGTTTGGTCATACCTTATCTGGTTGACTTTGTTGACTGACTTGACCAAGTTGAATTTGACTTTTGTTGACTTTAGACTTTGACTTGGATTTTGGACTTGAGCTTTTTCGCTTATTATTGATTGTAGGAACTATTTTAGTTAGTTGTGATGTAACATTTATTTAGTAATTGTATTATAATTATTAGTTTGTAATTTTATGTAATTATTATCATCACTCGGTAGTCATAATGTAATTGTTATTAATAAAAAGAAGTATTATTTGTTATTTATTTCTTTCGCACCAAAAGCCAATGCCCAAATCTCGCTAAGTCCAATATCTTAAGAACCAATTTGAGTAGTCAATTCACGTGACGAACATATCAAGCGAGTGCTTAATTCGTCTAATTGAAGCAAAACAAGTAAACTCTCCTTATCAAATTCTACTGATCGAGATTTGTTATTGCTTAATCTTAATTGAGTTATGGCAATAAGTCCCATCACAAGCACTACAAATACGTTTTAGTTAGAATGTCATTTAAGTTGCTATTGCAAATTTTAGACCAAAAACTAAAATTATTTAATTAAATATATGTTTAACCTGGACATAAAGTGGTGTCTACAGATACCATAGCAACTTCTTCCATTTTCCTCTTTCCCGACAATATTTCTTTCAGGAATTTAGTATATTTTGGAATCTTCATGACCAATAAAGGGACCATTATCTTCAATTGCTTCAATGTATTCTTCCATGGAGCACATTAATGATATATATCTCTTTTGAATAATCGTCTAGGATAAGGAGCTTTCGGTGTTGGATCAGGTGCTTGAATCTTGTTAGATTTCTCTTCATCTTCAATCTTGATTTAAATAGTAGGTTGCACTTCTTCTCGAACTAACTCTTATTCTTTAACAACTTCACCTTGAACCTCTCTTACAATAATCCTCGGTGTTGGGATAGAAACCTCCTTCAAAGATCGGTCACTCCTTAGAGTTACTGCCTGACATTCCTCCTTAGGATTAAGTTCGGTATTGCCCGGTAAAGTTCCTTGTGGTCTTGAAGATAGAGCTTGTGCCAATGAGCTTAGTTGGGCTTCAGAATTTTGAAGTGAAGCTTGTTGATTCCTTTGACCCACTTCCAAACTTAAGGGTTGTTTCCTCCAACCCGAATTATATGTAGAGCTATAAGGGTTGTTTCCTCAAGATTTCCCTCCAACAAATTTAGCTTGCTCAATTTGTATCGAGGCCTCAATCATAGACTTACACTCCTCCATAGTATGACTAGAGTCGCTACACCAATCACATTTCATGAGTTGCTTCCCATTTCCTTTCATTGATGATGCAACTTGATCAATTTTCTTGGAAAGTTCTTGTATATGAACCGCTAACGAAGATGGTTCTTCAATATTCAATAAACTTCCCTTCTTCACACTCTTACCTCTCCTTCTGCCCCCCATCATAGCTATTTATGGTCATTTCTTCAATCAATCTTTAAAGTTCACCAACTTCCTTGTTTCTTATGGCACCTCCACTAGCCGCATTGATGAGGTGGCATGACTTCCTTATTAAACCATTATAAAAGCTTTACACTAGTAACCAATTGGCGATGCCATGGTGTGGACATTTGAGTAGGAAAGATGTAAACCTTTCCCATGATTCAAACAATGGTTCATCCTTCTCTTGATGGAACAATAGTAATCTCGCTTTTCATTAGAGCCATCTTAGAAGGTGGAATGTACCTTTGAAGAACTTGTTGCATAGATCATCCCACGAGATGATGGATGGGGATGGTTAATCAACCATTGCTTTGTCGCTCCATTTAGAGTAAACAGAAATAACCTCAAACGAATTGCCTCTTGAGGAACCCTGTTTATCTTGATTCCATCCGTCAACATGTAGAATGACTTGATATGTGTGTGAGCACCTTCACACATCACCCATTGAATTGAACCGTACTTTGAAGCATCGAAATTATGCCCAGATTTATCTCATAGTTGTTATTCGGCACCGTTGAGTGAAGAATATGTGATTGAACATTATCCACACTTGGCCTTGAGTAAGATCCCATTGTTCTAGGCCTTGGTGTAACTTGAGATTGTTGTTGTTGATCCGCCATAGGTGGAGATTGATGTCTCACAACTCTTCTTAGATTTCGAAGGTTTCTCCCGATTTCTGTATAAAAAAGGTACTATCTCCAAAGAGTCTCTTCTTCACATACAAAAGTGCTACAACTTACAAGACGCAAACTCAACAACCTGTGACGCACAAAGTTGGATAACAAAAAAAAAACGATAAAACTACGAAAGCAACAAAAATCACAAACAAAAACAAAAGAAAGAAAATAATGGTTGAAATAACAACTCAATGATTTTCTAATATTTACCGAGGGTCCCCAGCAACGGCGCCAAAAAGGTTGATCGATTCATTCCGTTGCAATAATTACCCCATCCTAGGCCAAGTTTAAACTAAAATAGTGTTGTCATATATTGGCAATCAATGTCGTATTCACTCGGGTCTCGATACCCTAGCCTACTTCCCACGTTTTTGTTATCTAGTCGATCGGTCAAGGGGTTTTTATGGATAGGGGTGGCTATACGGTCCGGGCCTGTTAAATTGGCCCAAATTGACCTGGTCCCAGTCCGGTCTTTTTGGAAATATGGAGACCAAAAATTGAATTGGATACAGTCCGGTTTTGGCCCGATCCGAATTTGATCTGGTCCAGTCCCAATCCGGTTTTTACCTATTTTTACCCTGCTACTCATCCCCATAATTTTTTCTGAGTTTGGCGGTTGCTGCCGGCAGGTGGAACTTAAATTAAGAAACAAATTTTCTCTTTAGAAAAATGATATTCACAAACAAGACAAAATAACAACTCAAAACAATATGTATGAGCAGGTAGCAGCTATCTTAGTCTCTAGTGGGAGGGTATCTCCATGTATTATTATAAAGAACCACTTATTGATGTATTATTATAAGATCAACAGGGTTAATAAATCTGAATTAATCATTGTCTCAGGGTAAAATTGGGAACTAGGAACTTGAAGTTGAACCAACTTGCACGTTCATCTCTCTCCAGGTTCGTGGAATGGAATTTGATGGTCACAGTCCATATTGTCTCCAGGTTTGGAGATTGGAGAGGGAGAACGCCATTCCAACCCTACATTACAGAGTATGCTCGCGTCGCCCGGGCCACTGGGAAAGGGGCAGTGGGCTCGTTTAGACCTTGCTCTGGATCACTATTTTAGTTATCCGGTTTTTTGGTTTTAATACGGTTTTAACCCGGATTGGATTGGTCCAGTTTTTTTTTTTTTTTGCTAATTCTAGGACCAAAGACGGGATTGGATTGTTTTACATCCGGTCCTGCTCTTAAACGGTCCGGGTTATACAGTCCAGTTTTCGGTTTTACATCCGGTCCCAGCCCAAATAGCCAGCCCTAGATGGAGGATTCAAGCGAAATAATTAATAGAGAGAACAAATAAGGATAAAAGCAGGTACTTCGGGGAACTATCCCTCACCCTAGCCTATGTCTACTATGCAATGTCTAAATAAGTTGGGTTTAGCGAATGTGGTGAATGAGCTCTTTTTGGGATTTCTTGGTTATTCACACGCCTCTGAGTACGCCTCCCCAGTCAGTCACCTCAATCTAGACTATCGTATCTAGGACATTAAGAACATAGCTCATTTCAATGGGTACTGTGCACCGTTCACATCGAGATTGCATCCCAGGTTCTATCTAGGAAGGCATTCCTATATCATGGGTACGATCAAATCGTCCACTATAAGATCCTATTCATTCATCTAACCTAATTTGCTTGATGGTGCATACCCGTCTAACCTAAAAACTCTTTACCCAACGTAGAAGCTCAAGTAGGCTAGTGCAGAAGATTAAGGCGACTTTCCCAATCATAATTAAAGCTAGAGAACCAACAAAATCAACAAGATAAACACATTCATTCAAAACCCTAAATATTACATAATAGCCCTAAAACTAGGATTTGGGGTTTAGAACCCCTAGTACCTTAGAAGATTGCCCCATAAAGGAGGGAAGAAGATACCTAGAAGAAATTGGGGAAGACTTTATGTTGAGGAAGGTGGCTCCTCTCTTCTAGCTCCTCCTCCTCCTCCTCTTATCCTTCCTTCAGCTTCTATCTCTTCTCTCTCTCTAACCATAATTTTCTATCTCTAAATCAGCTCCCTTAAATGGGGGAAGGGGTCTTCTATTTATAGCCTTCAGAGGACGGACAAGTTCACGGTCAGGCAGTGTGAAGATCGCGATCACGATTTTCTTCCTTGAGACCGCGATCTACCGACGCCTCCATTTTGGTCTTCAGACACGAGGGATTCGTGAGATGACTTCACGGTCGCAATCTCTGAAGCGCGGGCGCGAACTAACTCGCGGTCAGGGTGAATTGTTGTCGTGATCAGACTATGGAAACTCTATGTTTCTCCTCGGCTGTCTTCTTAACGAAGTTCGCGCCCGAAGCCTCCAGATTCGCGATCGCGATCTTGGGCTCTCAGGCCGCGATCTTCACCTTGAGTTCGTAGTCTGTTTTCTCGGTTGTGATCTCCATCTCCAGGCCGTGATCATCAGCCATTTGCCCATTTTGCTACACTTGTGCCCCTTTTCGTAGTTAATTTGTATGTATTGTCTAAAGCACTCTAAAATCACATCATAATCAAATAGGAACAAAATAAGGATGCAATTGACGTTATTCTAACGATTATGCATTTGAATTAGCACGAAAAATACATAGACATGAAAGGTAAATAACACCAATTTGGGTGTTATCATGTATCCAACTCACCCTCAACATGGGTTGGCTCTTCTTCTTATTGATGTTGCTCTTGTGTGTCTGCCATACTCAATCAAGTATTGGATCTCAATTGTATGGCTTGCTCTACATGTCTTCTATCGAACCCTGCATATAGGCTATAAGGTACGATCGATACCTTGTTTCCTTGTCTGATGCCACTTGTAAACCAATTGGACTCAATGATGTCACGACCGTATATGGAATCAATAGAGTGATCTATAGAAGCTTGCTTTATAGTGGCAGGAATCCCTAATTGCGAAAACCTTCATACAAAAAAATCCTAAGGGTGATGTGCACCCTACTCCCAAACTCTCGCTAAACGAGAGAAAAACCACTCCATTTTGTATGTAATTAGAAAAATCACTCAATTCTCATCTTCAAATCCCTCTTCCGTATCCATAGACTAAGGTTTCTATCACTGTCTCACCACTATCATACACATTAAATCACCATGGTAAGACTCTATAATATCATCTTATGATTGTCATACCATCATCTTACCACTATAATAATATTATTAATATAATTGTGAATGTCATACTATAGAGTACAAAATAAGAAAAAAAATTGAATTCCATATTAAAAAAAATAAAATATTGTACGTTGATAATTTGTCAGTTATTGGAAAAGTTTATTTGCAACTTACGTGAATATGCACATCCACTCTTATAAACGAGGCCATTTCTGTAGTGTCG